CAACCCGCTGGCCGACCTAATGAACAATCCGGCACTGGCGGACATGGCGCAGAGATTCATGGGCGGTGGCAACAACAGCAACAACAGCAACAGCAACAGTGGCTCGGGGACCGGCTCAGGGACTGGAAACTAATTCGAGCAGATCTGATCTGGTTCGTTTTCTGCCTGTGCAAGAACCTGCTGATTGATGATAACTTTTTTTTTCTTCTGGTAACGCTCTCATTTCTGTGCTCGAATACCAATTTTGCCGAGAGCCTGCTCGTTGAAGCCTGCTCGTTGAAGCCCGCAGCAACAGGAGCCTGACACCAGAGACGCACTACCGGCTTCTTGCGAGGTGAGCTTGAACCGACACGCCTGGAGCAGCGGGGGCGCCTACCGATTCGCAGCGGTTTATTGGCGTTCTAATGCGCGGAATCCGCTACTGGTGGGCTGTGGTTGTAGACAGACAAGGGTGCGCTCGGATGCTACGGTGTTTGCATCCTTTAGTGTCTGCGCTCGAGAAACGCTGCGCGACACGGGGACTGGGCTATCCCCACGGCTATAGACGGCGATGGAATACGCAGTTTGCAGTTCAGAGCAGAAGCAGCAGATCGCACTTGCTCCAGAGGAACTGGCGAAGCGTTCGGTGCTATTCTACATGCGGCGACAATGGCGACGGCAGCGCTGGGGACAATAGCGAGGACGTATCGACCAAGCTGGGGAAGACGCTGCTTCAAAGCTACAGCCCGTTTCTGGCAAAGTTCTCGCGTCTGCTTCCGGCAAAGGATCAGGCAACGCTGCAGGCATTCAGCGATGAACTTCGACGGCCACAGGCCTCAGCAATTCAGCTGGTCCGCCTCTACCGGTTACTTCAGAGAGACGGCCTCCACCGATACCTGACGATACATGCATTGCAGCGTCTATTGAGGCGCGTTTCTGGCGTGTCGTCCATCTCTCAGGCCGAAAGCGACGATGAGCACCCGTCAAACATTGTTATAGGCCTGATCGATGACTACAACTCGCTTGGGTTCATGCTCGGCATCAGCGAATACTCGAGCCTTGTCCGAGCGCTGGCCCAGGAGGTGGGGAGAGAACAGGATGCGCTTCGAGTCTTGGACAGCGTTATAGAGGAGTCGGAGATAGGACCGTTTTTACGCCACCACAAGAAGAGCCCCGGCCACCCAGTATCAGCAGCAGATCGGATCCCGTCAGATGAGGAGATTGCGCGTATCGAAGAATCGCTGAAAGATACCGAACAGCCGGGCGCTATAGACACACAACAGGCCCCCGACGAGCCAGAAGACCCCGACCCTGAATCCTTACGCGAGCCAGGCGACATCGATCGTATCCAGGCGCTAGTGATTGAGAGCCGTCAAGCTTGGTTGAAGCACCACCTGAATCAGGCCTCGCACAGGCGCCTACAGATATCGCGGGAGTTTTATCACATGGCTATGCGTGGGTTTGCGCAGATATACCACGTCCGCGGCGTGTTGGCGATTCTCAACCGGATGTTGGAGACAGCCACATATGTTCCACACCGGATCGCTCGATATCTGATGCCAAACAAAGATACGTGGGATATTGTTGGCGAGGTACTCGTTCGCCAGCGGGACCGGCCATCGTTCGTCAAGGTATGGATCGACTTTCTCAGCCGCGGCGCGAGGCCGCCTATTGTGCTGACGCGAAGGCTGGTTCGGCTTCTTGTTCGTCAGATGCACATGGAGCAGGCCGTGTGGGTGATGCGTATTAGCCGTTGCCTGCCGGATTTTGGGGACAGCTTGCCCAAGGCCGCGCACACCGCGGATGAAGTGCCGTGGGATCTAAAGGTGCAGACAATGTACGTGGCATCGGCGCTGGAGGCGGCTACAGCGCTCGATGTCGTCCAGATGACTCGGGCCGATGCGCTGCAACAGGGACGGACAGCCGCACAGCTACCACTGCTCAGCAAGCCCGATCCTGGTATGTACGGCTATCTCATCGGCGGCGCCGTGCGGGCAAAGAGCGGGCGGCTGGCAGAGCACCTGTTCCAGGAGCTTGTCGACGCTGGTCTGGCGCCAACTGGCGCCACGTATGGGCAGCTGGCGTCGATGTATGCTGACCAGGGGCAGATCAGCCGGGTGTTTCTGATTGTGCGCAACATGCTGGTTCGTAGCCACCAGTACATTGCCCAGCAGAGGATCGCCCAGGGCACACTGACGACAAGTATGGACCAGAAAAAGTACAAGGCAATCGTCGTTCGCAGAGCGGCCATGCTCGAGGGCGACGTCGACTGCATTGTGCCGCTGCTGCGTTTCTACATAGAAGAGAATCGCGAGCACGAGGCCCTTGCCCTGCTGCGTAGCTGGGACATGGTCTACCAGAACTACGTCCCTGCCGACAAGCTTGTCCTGGCCCTGCTGAAAGTATACGAGCGGCCCCAAGACGCACTCATGGCCGAGCAGCTGGTGCACAGGCTCGCGAGCGAGCTTGCCAAGGAGAGAGACGCAGCGTCCACATCGGCCGAGCCCCAGCAGGATCCGGCTGTCACTGTGGCCAAGGGCGCCAACGCTCATGTGTTGACTCGTATACATATGCAGGCCATCCGTACCCACTTGCAGGCGCGGGACATTCCGGGTATTCTGCGTGTTCTTCGAAAAGTCGCGGCCAACGGCATGACGCCGCCATATTCGATGTGGGACGAGGTCATGCGCGGACTGTTGCGGGAGCAAGCGCTGGATCTGTTCGATGCGGTGCACGCGTTCTTGCGGGACACGTTACGAGTACCGCTTTCTCTGCCCCTCTACTCGCTATGGATGCAATCGCTGCGAAACCATGGCGACCTGGCCGGCGTTCAGGCGGCCTTTGACGAGATGGTTGAGCTGGGCCAAATCCCTACCCAACAGCACTACCTCCTCTTGGTCCAGGCGTATGCGTACAGTGGCCTGGTCGAACAAGCAGTGTCGATTGTCAACAATCTGCGCAAGCCCCGCAGCGCCCTGCGTCCAGGGCTCGGTCTGGACATTGCTGTGATCGAAGCGTATGTCGTGAGTGGCGAAACAGAGCGTGCTGACGCTGAGCTGCGCCGCCTTTTACAGACTACGCATCTCCCGGTCAACAAAATCCCAGCGAGGCCATTCAACCATATAATCGTTGGCCACCTCTACGCAGGCCAGGGTCGAGAGGCCATGAATACGTACGAGGAGATGGTCCGCATAGGTGTGAGGCCTGATGTGTACACGTTCGCCATCCTCATGCACTCGTACGCGTCTGCGGGCGACCTGCACAGCTGTACACGCGTCTTTAACGAGATGGTCAGAGTGGGCATTTCGCCCGACCTCGTCATCTACACGATCCTGATATGCGCCTTTGGTGCTGTGGGGCGGGTGACAAACGCCGAAATGACCTTTAAACAGGTCCTCCAAGAGCAGGAGTGGGCCCGCGAACGGCTCGCTGCCTCGGCTGGGCACAGATCGGATGCTGGCCTGTCTGCCGGCTCCGCCGATGCTCTGGGGATCTACGCCGAGAAACTGGAGGACATTGACATGTCGGGGACTCTTGGCGCGCTGGATTCCGGCAGGGCCACAGCCGAAGAGAACTTCCGCCTCCGCTGCTTCTACAACCTGGACCCCGTGGTTTACATTGCCATGCTTTCCGTGTACAGAACCGGCAGGCGGACGCTGAGCGCCCTGGCCACATGGGAGCGCCTTATTCAAAACTTCCCTGTTGTCCAGTGGAACCCACGGCAGGGTGGCATCAACTCAAAATCCCTGTACTATACAGGATCGTTCCACCAGCCGGCCTGGACCTTGCTGTTGCGGACGGTGAAACGGTCCATTGGTATCACCAATAATGTAATGCCGGTACGCGGGCTGGCCCGGCATTTCTACGAGCCACTCTACCCCGAGTCGATCTCGGATGCCATGGGCCAGCGCCTGAGACATAAGCAGGCACTTGCACGCCTGGCGGCAGAGAGTCCCGACAACAAAGACGTAGCCAACGCGGTTCGACGAATGAAGGATCGCATACGGAACGTCCACGATATAGAAGCCGAACTCGACCGTCGTCTGGTGGCCGATCACGACTTTTGTGGACAGGAACGAATGGCCACAGCCACGCCAGGCCTGGTCAACCAAGGCGCCTTTGTCGACTTTGGCTATTGGATGCCAAGAGGGGTGGATCTGCCGATACAGGTCTCAAATTTAGAGGGCCGCTCAACCGATCACAGCCGCGGCCCGGGCGACGACGCTGCTGCGCACAAGGCGCCCGCTGCAGCGCCGGCGCCGCCATTCTTTGATAAGAAAGATTCGCAGCCGACCACTGACACGACGGCGCGGGGCATTGCGGCCATTCTTGCTCGCCAGTGGCGGTTCCTGGAAGAGCGAAGGTTCAAGTTCCAAAACACACACGTCGCGGAGTATATTCCGTGCATGCTTCTGGGGCGCCGGTACGAGGATTTGCGCCGGTTCCTATCCCTGGCCGAGCCCGGATCGGCTACCAGTAAAAAGGATGCGGACACGCACTATCGCTATCGCAACGTGGCCATTCCCAGGCATCTATCGATAATGCTGGCCCAGCAACTGACAATTGTTCGGAAGCAGCTCCTAGTTGAACGAGAACGCCGCATTCTTCTCGCAGCTCTGCTGGGCAACGATCGCGAGCTGCAAGCGCGCTACATTTCGCAGAGTGTATATGGATCCATCGACTCCTGGCGCACGGACGACGAGCTCCAGGTAATACGTGAGCGGCTGACCGTCCATCATGAGCGCGAGCTGGCTTGGAGCACTGAGCTGCAAACTCTGGTGGAGATTGCCCGCTTGTGGAGCGATCGCCTGAAGGAGGGCTCGGGAAGCCAACTGTTTGTCAAGAACGAACAGCGCAAGGTCCTAAAAGGCCTGGCCCTTTAGCAAGTAGTAGACTCTTGGCCAAAAGATGACAGCAGCAAAAATAGACCTCAACTATAGCGAACGGACAGATTGTGGACGCAAAGGGTCAGAGGTCGGCCGCTCGCCAAACCGTCCATCAAAAAAAACGGCAAAAAATAATGACTTCGGCCGGACTCGAACCGGCGGCCGTCTGTGTGTTAGACAGACGTGATAACCATCTACACCACGAAGTCACTGATTAGTGAAGCTGCTGCTCCACGTTCTGATTTTCGAAAATAATGGGTAACTAGACTCTGCCAGCGGCAATCCTGGTTGGATGCCGCTTTTCGCTTCGAGGATGCGGTTTTGTCGGTGGGCCCAGTGTAGACACTAGCAGCAGCTTATCGGCAGTGTGCAGCTGTAAATACAGGCCTGGGTTGGTACAAGACAGGCCCAAATTATGCCTAGCCTATCGTCTACAACTCACACATACATGCGAGCATGTTGTACCAAGTAAGTCTTCATTCATTACGGGCGAAAGGGTGTGGTGGAGCAAGAAGTCGGATATCCTCAGGGGAAAATTTTATACAGCAACTTGTTCATAGCTTTGCAGCTCGTTGGAGATGGCAACAGTGAGCTTCTTGTACCCCCACCAGTTCCCCTCCAGGCGCTTGAACTTTACTGTGTGGAGATGGCCCTGGATGGTTTCGATGATGACCTCGAACCGCAGGCCCTGGTCCTCACAGCTATAGATGTCGTCGGCCATCTTGCGCAAAACAATGGACTTTGTCTTAAGAACCTGCTCGATTTTGGCCTGGATCTCGTCGAGCGGGCCGAACATTGTACAGCGGAGGTTGAACATGCCACGCATGGCGCCCTTGTTGTTTGCAGGGCGCTGCTGCTGTTGCTGCTGCTGTTGCTGGCGGTGCTGCGCGCCGCCAATGGCCGTCGGTGCCGAGCCTCGCGACGTCAGCGCTGCTGGCAGCTGTGCGCCGGCATTCTGCTGGGTGAATGGGACAGGCGGCTGGTTGTTCTGGTTGCTCTGAGTCGGATTCAGACGCAACGGCATAACCGGGCGGCCCGCCACCACTGAGAGAGGGCGTGCTGTGCGGCGGGGATTGCCGGTGGGGTTGGCGCTTGGCTCAAGAGGCAGATCGCGTGGGGGCTCGGACTTCCGGGAGTGGTCTGTGCGCGGTTGGAGCTGGTTCTGTATGTGTGCGGGAGTAGGCCCAAAGTCGGTGTGGCGGTGGTGGCGGTGAGGCTGATGACCGGCGCTGGTGGCTGGGCGCTGGGAGCCCGGCGCTGCCGCCGGACGGGCCTCATTGGCGGTTGCAGTCATTGGGCGACTAGAGTGCTGCTGCTTGGGGCCAGGTGGCAGAGCAGGCGGGAGCTGCGGTGGAAGCGGCTGCTCCGGCGGCGGCGGGTAGTAGCTAGGCATCCGGCTTCCTCCCTGGATGTTGAGCGACTGGGCCGAAGGAGCCGCGCTGAAGCGGCGAAACGGCGCTTGGAAGATGCTGACTCGGTTCCGGTTATCGACGTTATTCTGCGACTGGTCGAATGGCGGCATCTCTGCCGTTCCCGGGCGCCGCGACTTTAGGAATGGCATGGATTTGCGGAACATGCCCATGATGCGCGACGAGCGGCTGGAGCGCCTGTCGTCTTGGAGGAATGGCGACGATGCGTCGAGGTTTAGGGAGCTGTTTACTGAGATTTGGCCGCTGGCAGTGCTGCCCTTGCGCGGACGCGGCGGCTCGTACTGACTGGCTCCGAATGACGGCGATTCCATAGTGTTCATGGCGAGATCCGAGTCCCGGTTGCCAATGTATGGAGCCTGGTGGGCGTTTCCTGCAAAGGCATGCGGGGCGGACGGCTGAGCGCGGGAATGGGCGCCGGCTGGAGGCTGGGCGCCCGGGCTATGGCTTTCAGTATGGACCGGCGCGTAGCTGTGCCTGCTGCGCGACGTGGGCCGGTGGCCGTCGCCAGGTTGTGGGTAGTGCACAGCTGGCGACGTACTCTCGGTGTCAGTGGAAGAGCCAGGAACGCCCAGGTGCGTGGCGTGGCTACGGCGCGCATTGCGCGTGGCCTTGCGGCGGCGTGACTCTACCAGAAGATGATAGATGCTCACCATGGGCGTCAGAGCCATATCGCTGCGGGCCAGGGCAGCGACGACATCGGGAATGCTGTACTTGTAGACAGGCATCTTTTGCAGGAGCTGCTCGTCGGGCTGTAGAACAACAACGGGGCGGTCCTGCAAGTGGTTGTTGACGGGTTGGTCGTACTCCTTGTTCGTCCACGGATGGTCGATGATGCCCTTCATGGATATGCGCATCCGTGGGTCGACCGTGAGGATCTGCTGGAGCAAATCCTGCGCGTCCTTGCTGAGGAACGGCGCCAGGTTGAAGCGGCCGCGCGAGATTTTGTCGTAAATGACCTTGATGGACTCGCCCTCAAAGGGCGTGCGGCCACACAGCATGAAGAACAGAATAACCCCCATGCTCCAGACGTCGACCTCGGGCCCCGTGTACTTGATGCCATTGACCATTTCTGGCGCGGCATAGAATGGCGACCCACAGAACGTGTCCAGCTGCTTGTCCCACTCAAAGGTGTTGGCAAAGCCAAAGTCGATGATGCGGATACGGCCATCGCTGTCCAGCATAATGTTCTCCATCTTTAGGTCGCGGTGAATGATGCAGTTGCGGTGCGTATAGTCCATGGCGCTGACAATCTGGCGGAACAGCACGCGCGCCTCGCTCTCGTGCAGCCGCCCGCGCTTGCGGATGTGGTGCAGCAGCTCGCCGCCGCTGTTGTGTTCCATGACGATCATCGTGAACTTTGAGTGCTGGATGACATCGTAGATCCTTACAATGTTTGGGTGATATAGCAGCGACAGTAGCTTTATCTCGCGCTCGACCCGTATGTTGTGCTTGTCTGTACTGCCGCCCTGGGGCGACTTTGCCTTGATGAACTTTAGGGCGAACTTTTGCTTTGTCGCGCGGTGCTCGGCCAGGCACACTTTGCTGAACGTGCCCTTGCCCAGCACCTGCTTGATAAGAAAGTCGCCAATGTGGTGCTCGCGGCGCTCGCGGTGCCCTGGGTGCCTGCTGCCAATGTCGCGTCCGTGGCCGGCGGACTTACTTGGGCGCCCCTGCTGGGATGTGGTCATGTCTGTGTGTGCGGGCTGGCCTGCCCACGCCTTCTGCCCTGACGCGTACGCTGATGTCGGGCGGGCGCCAGACGTCCCTATGTTTCGTGCAGCCTGGTACGGGTCGGCAGACCCGGCTCCGGGCGTATGCTCCCCAATATATTTGCCGAGCTGCGTGGGTGCCAGCGAGCGGCGCCTGTGCATGTGATCTGCAACGGCGAGTTCTGGCGGGTCCGTGTTGTGATACTAGGGGTGGTGGACAGGCAATGGATTAGCACGCGTGCCGAATGCTGGCAGGCCCAATGCTGGCGCGGATTGCAAAGCAGAAAGGAAGAAGAGCCATTTATTGTGTGTGGGCAACAGGCGTGTCCCCCTTGCCGCGAAAAAGTCCCTGCACCCGGCCGGCGCTGCCGGCAGCGCTTTGGGGGAGCGGACGGTGCCTCGCGTACAAAGGCGGGGGGGTTTGCATGGCTTCCGGGCACTTACATTGGACGTTGGGCGGACGGCGGTAGTCATTCTCGGGGGCGCGACAAAGAGCAAGGACGCAGGGAGTGGGTGGGCACTGGGGAAGAGAGAAGCGTGAGTATGCGCGGTTTCAAATGGCGCCGCGGCCACTGCTGCTGCTGCTGCTGCTGCTGCTGCCTCGTATGTTTCTCACGCAGCGCGCTTGCCTTGGGATGGTGTTCCCAGCCCAGCAGTATCGATGAGAAGTAGGCAGTTCAGAATAGAAAAAGCAGAAAGAAGCTCAGCCAAAAAGCAAATCCTGCCTCGGCCCGGTTCTGGCGGCAGCAGCGCCTGGTCCCTCTTTTATAGCCTCCCGCCCGGCGGCTGCCTGTATGCCCGCTCGTCCGCCCCTGCGCACGGCCGCACAATGCCTGCCCGCGCAATCTATGTACCCCGGGCCTTGCCCCCCTGCTCAGCGAAGCCATATCTGCACGGGCTAGCTTCCAGAGTCAAGCCATTGCGCATACCGCTCCATGCGCTGCTCGTCGTCGTCGCCTCCGCCCGCTGCGGGCGCCCCTGCACCAGCCTTGGCGCTGCCGTCCCCGGCCAGCCTGTACCGCGCGTGACCGTCGCATATCGCCGCCTCGACCTGCCTGCCGGCAAAGAACCGCCCGTTCATGACCTACAAACCCCAGGCCCCTTGCGCGGATTCAGATTACCTGCACGATTGCCATATAGCGCACTCATCTGCGCGCTCTCCCACCTACCTTCACGCATGCTTTGGCTGCCACTTCGTCCTTGAACTTGACCGCTATGACCCCCTCCTCAGTCTTCTACATTGAGCGCTTCATACTTAGCCTCCAATAATACCTGCCCCACACACCATGTCCCCAATGGCGGAGAACCATGCAGCCAAGCAGGCACTTACATCGTGGACCTTCACGCTTGTGACCTTGCCCACCTTTTCGCATTCGCCACGCACGTCTTCGGGAAGGTCGAGGAGTAGTGTGACATCCTCCTACATGGTTGCCGGCAAAGTGCTGCGGTTGGGAATCAGCCCGGGCAAGAGGGGCCAGGCGCCGCGCCGCCGCGCTGTCGCATACCTCCAGCTCTGCTTGCGTGAACATGTGCTTGAGAATCACCGTCCGCCTGTGTCTTTCGGCAACTTCGTCCGCGCCCTCGTACCAATCAAGCTTCCTACATTGCTGCCGGCATAAATACAGCATCGGAGGTGAGGGTCTGTCCCCGCCAGCATTGGCCAAGCTACGTTACATGTGCATGGCATATACGAACACACATAGCAACGGCACAATGCAAGATTCGCAGTTGCGGAAAGAGGGCATTCTGGATAACGCCGGTACAATAGGCCAATACTTGCTTTTCGAGCCGGTTTAGGCGCTTCTGCGCCTGCTTTGCATCTACGCGGGGTCGCTTGGGCTTCTCGGATCCGCGGTCGTCGGCCGCCCTGCTTTGGAACTCGGCCTACAGCCGCACTCTGGCAAGTTAGTGGTGCATCCTTTCGCTCTGCCGCCACAAGTGCTCCACTAGCCGCAGTACCTCTTGGACCCGGATGGGCTCGGTGTCGGCCGGGCGGAACCGGGAGTCGTCCAGAATATCCAGCGCAAGCTGCACCGAAGGCGCCTTAAAATAGGTCACTAGCGCGTCGCCCTTGGGCGCGCCTTCCTCGTCGCGGTAGAGCTTGACTCGCGGCTTGTCTATATATGCACCGAGTGCATGTCCTTTAGCGCGAGCAATGCCACACAGCATGCATAGACGGCAGCAGCCAATACCACCTACTCGTAACCAGGTCCGGCATTATCGTCCCGCACTGCGAAAAGTATTGGGCAACCTCCTCTTCGGTGGCATCTCGCGGCAACCCCGAGATGTATATACTAGTGTTTTCCCTACGCTTCGTGCTGCCCCTGGCCTTCCGCTTGGCGCTCGCTTGGTCCTCGGCCAAAGGGGCCTCGTCTTCAGCGCCGTATGCCGACTGTTGCTGCTCGACCAGGGACTTGTTCCACATTGGAAACCATGCACCCTTGCCGGCATCATACTGGTATTCCGTCCCGTCGCCCGGGTCAGTGAATACGTAGCAGCCCGTTTCGTCAACGAGCTGCACACGCTTGTCGGCAGCAAAGTCTTCTGGCTTTGGAAACGAAGGCGGGTCCATAGCTTTGCAGGGTCAGGAAACAGATGCGGGCTGGGGCGCGCTCCTCGGGCAAAAACGGGCCGTGACGTCGCCTTCCAATCGATACTTGTCTGCTGGCGGCTGCAGTATGGGTACGCCCCTTTTTTGTTTGCGATTAGCAGGCAGCGTAGTTTCCTGACCTTCTTTGCTGTTTACAATTGGGCCCGCTCATTTGTTATTCTTTCTGTGCATTGCAATGGACGGCCAAAGCGAAAAGACCGCTCCAGATATGCCCGAGCCGCAGGCCGCCGATGGCGTGCGTTACCACAAGCTGCTCTCGGTCCTCGACCGCTCGCTGTCGTCGGTCGTCGACACCTTCAAGCTGGAAGATTTGCAGGAGGTGTTTCCGGGCCTGGCACGCGAAATCCCAGAGAAGCTGGCGGACAGCCACGAGCAAATAAGCTCCTACATACGGAACTCGGCCAACGCCGACTTTCAGGCCATCCTCATGCAGTACGACATGGACGCCAAGCTGACTGGTCTGGATAGGCTGGTCAAGGATGCTGCCCAGCGCAAGCTGACGTCGGCCCAGAAGCCGATCCCCAGCCTGTCGCCAGAGTCGATCAACCGGAGCCGGTCCGCCGCCATTAAGCGTGCTGAGCTGGCCCGACTAAAGGCAAAGCTGGCTCGGCTCCAAGACGAAAACGCCCAGCAAGTTGCCGAGCTGGACCAGCAACGGACCACGCTGGCTGCTGAACACGAATCCCTCAAAAAGACCCTCTCGCTAGTGCACAGTATCGACAACTAACGCCTAGAGCCTATTCTTTGATCTGGATGTTGACAATGCCAATGTCGTCGAGCGGCTTGTCGTGCTTGTCTGTCTTGGCTGCTTCGATCTGGTAGACGACATCCGCGCCGGCCGTGACTCTGCCAAAGATGGTGTGCTTGTCGTCTAGCCAGGGCGCAGACTTTACGGTTGTAATGAAGAACTGCGAGCCGTTCGTGTTTGGGCCGGCATTTGCCATGCTGAGCGTGAGCGGGCGATCATGGCGTAGAGAGGGGGCAAACTCGTCCTCAAAGGTGTGGCCCCAGACCGACTCGCCGCCCGTGCCGTCGCCCAAAGGGTCGCCCGTCTGGACCATGAAGCGCTTGATGACGCGGTGAAAGATGACTCCGTTGTAGTAGCCGTTGCGCGAGTGAGCAGTAAAGTTCTCCACTGCTTTGGGGGCGTGTTCCGGGAACAGCGCCAAGTGAATGTCCCCCAGCGTCGTGCGCAGGACGGCGGCTGTTGCGGCTTGCCTTTTCGCCGGCGTCACTGTCAACGACGCCTCTTCGCGGGTGGGCCGCTCGTTGAATACATCGCGGTCGCCGCCCTGCGCAGCGTGGTCGGGCTCATCCTGGGTAAACATGTAGAAGCGGTTCCGCTTGAATGCAGTGCAGAATAGGATAGGGTCGCTGCAGGCCCTGCTCGCGCTGGGGTTGGCCGACGCGGCTAGATCCAGCCGGGCACTAGCGTGTTCGGGCGGGCCCTGCGCCAACGCAATGTTGACAAAGCGCAGGGGCTCAGGCTTGCCCAGAACGCGCACCACCTTGTTTGCCGCCAGATTGACGACCTTTATCCCAAAGAGCGATGCAAACATCAGGAACTGTCCGCTGTCGTCGAACGCCGTGTTGATGTGCTTGCCGGCGGGAGACCCGAGCAGCTCTTTCTCCACAACCAGCCTCCGCCCAAACTCCATGTCGTCGAGCCTGAACCGCCTGCTCTCATCGCTCCGCTGGATCGCATTGCTCGCGCTGGCCGACTCGTCATAGACGCGGTGCAGCTTCCCGGTCGCCGTCTGGAAAACACGCACGGCTGAGTCGGCGGTGCTGGTGCACGCGAACAGCTCGCCGTCCCGCGAAAACACGAGGCTGTTGGGCACACACTTGCTCTTCTTGAAGCAGTACAGGTCCGTTTGCGATTTGAGCGTGAACTCGGCTGCTGGTGGAAGCTCGCCGGGCCTGTCCAGCGCCCAGTACTCAATCATGCCGCCCCTGTCTATAGAGATCATGCACTCCAGGCCGTGGCTGTACGCCATCAGCACCACTGGCTGCCGATGCGCATTATCAATCGTGCGCTTTGGCTCTGTGCTCGGCTCCGGGTTGTATGTGTATATGGTCGGCGACTCTGAATCCGCAGCGGCAATGCACACGCTATGGTCCAGCGGATCCACCACCCAGCACAGGGCAGACGGAACGTACTCTGTGCTTATTATTGCGATCATGTCAAAGTTCACCACATCAAAGACCTTTATGGTCTTGTCCGTCGAGGCTGTGGCAAACATGTGCCCGTCTGCCGATGCCGCATAGGCAACAGCGGCCCGGGTGTGTGCCCGAAACCCCTTGACAAACTCGATGCCCTTGTTGCGCCGCTTCCAGAACTTTACGTGGCCATCCGCCGAGGCTGTAATGACAAATCCCGTCTTTGTAACCGCTACATGCTCCACAGTGTCGCGGTGCATATATGACCGCTCATACATTTCTGCGCAAGGGAGCTGCTCTGACGCGGCCGGACTGCGGGCCACAGTGCGCCTCTTTGACGCGCGAACATTGTCGGAACCGGACGCGTGCTCGCGCTTGTTATCGCCCGCGTCCATTTCAGAGATACGACAGCAAAAGACAACAGATAACTTGCAAATTAGAAGAAGGTAAGGGCCAAGAGCCAAGAAGCTGGAGCCAGACAGCCAGACTCCAAGCAAGGTTTTGGGCGCGGGTGATCGATTAGCCTGATCTCCTCGACTCGCTGCTGTGAATGCACAGGCGCAACAGCACTATAGACCGGCAAAAGGTTGCCCGGGGTCTGAATCGACCGGTACCTTGCCCTTGGGCGGGTCCATTGGGCTTTGCAAACTGCTGCCGCTTTCACAACGGCAGACGCAGGGTCAAAACAGAACATAGTTTTTGGTTTCCAAAGGTTTTGCCTTTCTAGTCAGAGTCCGTTTGGTCTAGTGGTTATGACATCTGCTTTACACGCAGGGAATCGCCGGTTCGATCCCGGCAGTGGACATTTTTTTGCTGGTTCTTTTGGCTCACACAAATGGCCGTGAGTGCTTGGCTGCACCTGGCGGCACTGGCTGCTTGCTTTGGTCGAAACTGTGCACATACTGCTGTGCTTCTTGTTCTTTTTAGAAGCTAGAGAGCTTAAAGCGCTTCGGCGTATGGATTGTAAACTGGATGAGGAAAGTGGTGGCTATCGTCGGGCGCCGACTCTTCGGAATGGATGCTTGCATTGTCGTCATCATAGCCATACTCGAAGAACACTTGGGGGAGCACGGGCTGCGGCTTGAATATAACCGGCCCACTGGCCCATGTCTGTGAGCGCGGCAGGCGCATGTCCGAATCTGATTGGATGTATGATACAGGTGCGGGGGCAGGGGCGGCATTCGCAGGGCGCTCATATATGGGCTCCTCTTGGGCTGGTACACCAAACATAGCTCCGTGGCGCTGGAGCTCAAAAGACTCGATGGGTTCTTCTTCAGAGAGACCGTCTTCATTCGGCTCGGGCGTTGGTGACACTGTCTCTGATATGTAGTCGCCGCTGTCTGACATTGCAGAAGCAGCAGACCCAAATGAAGTCATAGTGTGTGGCGATGATGGCAAGCGAAAGGACCATTGGGGCTGCGGAGATGGCAGCGCATCCTCTGCCAGGTCAATTTCCTCAATTTCATCGGGCGGGGGTCCAGAAAGCTGCCGCCGGAGCCGCTCAAGGTACAGCTCAATGCTGCTGGTGAAATGTGCATCTAATGGCGTCTCCGGCCCAGACCCCAGAGAGTCCGAGGAGTCATACTCAAAAGAAGAGCTTTGCCTGCGGCGTGTGTGTGACAGCGTGTGTAGAACAGTGTCGGTTTCAAACGATTCGTAGTCGGATCCTGATTCACTATCACTCGAACCGCCTGTGTTCCTTTTCTCTCCTGCCAACCGGGCAGCTGTCCCAAGCTCGGGCGACATTGAGCTGGATGGTTTGGAATTGTGCAGCAAATCGCCCAGCTCTATCACGCCTGCATTGCGCATCCGGCCATTATCGACAACCAGCCTTCCCGTGCCCAGGTCGATAATGTCATCGTCCTCGTCAATATGGCCGTACTTTGCGAATATGGCTTCAAAGGCACTGCGGAACCGCCCCTGGCTCTGCTCCCGCGCCCGGTCAAGCTCCTCGTCTGCCTCGCTCATATCCGCATAGACAATAAAATACCAGACGACAGACAGCAGCAATGCATTCCTCGAACCGGGCGTTTTTGGCGAATGGTTTGTATAGATTGTCTGCAGGCAGACAGTTATGGAGCAGCTTATGGTATACAGGTGGTGGGGTTTACAGCTACCCGCGGTTACTGCCAATTCTACCTATAAGAAGGTGGCGCTTGGGCAAGAGTGCTGGTGGGATCCGCTCCAAAGCAAAAGAAAGTACATATTCTACAGCCGAACCTTGACTGGGGCATTGCGACCCATGACGGTAAAGTTCAGCGGGGCATTTCCTACAAGCACAGATATGCTTGTAAACACGTCCACATCAAGCGTGCCGCCGAGCGCCTTGCGCAAAACATCCCAGCCAATGGAGGTCTCGTTTGCTGCAATTGGCAGCCGCGGTGTGGTTGTCGCTCGGTTGTAAGGCAGCACAAGCCCCTTTGATGCTGCGCGCTGCGGATACTGCTGCGTCGAGGTAAAGTCGTATTCCAGAGTCCCTAGGTGAATATCGTCGTCATAATACCCGCTCGCCTTGATTGTCTGCAGCCACATGGGGGCACCGGACACAGGGTTCACTACAGTTGCCTCAGCAGACATGGCAAAGAGATGAAAGACCACCTCCTGGAGAACCTGCGGGACAGCGGTCGAAGACGCATCCCGGCTGGAAGGATCAATGGTGACCTTTTGGGAAAACCGCCGCAGCGAGGCCTCCAGCGGAGCAATACTGGTGCAGTTGGGGAAGCCGGCAATGTCCAGGGTGACGTTGTTCCCTGCCGATGCCTCCAGGAAGAGCATCTGCTGGCGCGGGTCTCCAATGTGGTTGAAGAAATCGACATAGACAGTAATTGCGCTGGCGCCCTGTGCCAAAGAGAGCTCCTTGACCCCCACGGTGGCTATATGCAGGCCCGAGTAGTTCACCATGAGCGCAAGGTCTGTGATGTGCGCACCATAGCTCAGAGGGTTATCCACATCCAGCCCAATCTCCAGCGCAACCAGGTCCTGTCTGGTGTCAACGACGTGGATACGAGTGACTGCAATATCGGGAAGGGTGGGCATGCTCAGGATGTCGCCAGCATCGCCCACGGTGCCATTGTCTGGCTCTAATGACCGGTCAATTGCCACGTGGAACGGCAGCGAGTCAATACGCATCCTGCCAATAGATGTTACCAAAGAAACATCCAGAGTTCCATTTACGCCCACAGTCACACGACGGTCGCCCAGCACTCGAGACACTGCCTGCGTAAACTGAGGTTCTTTGCCAGACAGCACACTCAGGCCGAGCCGGTCAAAGTCGCAAGAGGCGACAAACCTCGACGGTGCCTCCTGAACCACCTGGATCATGGCTGCCGACGTGTCCACAGTTGCAAATGCCTGCCCTTCATCGTCAAGCAGACATAGGTTGGGCGTAAGCGATTCGATTGCAAAGGCCACATCCGACCCTGATGGATTGGGAAGGTCAATGGTTGCCTGGCCCGAGATACGCGCCCACGGTTGGTAGCTGTCTTTGGCGCTCCAGTGTGCATATAGCTTGTCAACAACAACATCCCTTATCACGTCGTCGAGTGGGAAGGAGGGCGAGCCAAGGAGGGGTGGACTCAGCTGGTCAGAGCTGACTGGAATGGCAACATTGCGTAGCGCCTGCCTCAGCCAGCGGGGGACAGTGTCATAGTCCGATGGGTCGGCGCCTGACACTGTCACCTGGAAAGGCTCGCTCGCGCTGGCCTTTTTCATCAGCTCAACCAGCGCTGCTTCATGGCTGGCGTCGGCAATGCGCTTGACCGTCGCACTGATGGGAATAAGAGCCGTTCCATTCCCAGGCACGGACACTGGGCCAACTTCAACCGTCACAATAGTCACATTGCCGTAGCCAATGTCCAGCCACAGCGCACCAATGTTGGCCGCTACACCAGCAGGAAGCGAGAATTCCACATTTGCCTGCGTGGTTATGCCATCACGCTGCGGGTCGGTTACGGGTCCAGCCAGAGCTGTGACTGTAGCGTTTGCGACCGGCGGCGGTGGTGGCAGCGTGAGCGCTAGATCGCGTCGTACATTAGCAGTTGGCAAGTACCGCCCAAACCCGCCCAGGTCGACCTGAACATGCGCACTCGCTACGATCTTTCGTGATACCACTGCCTCATCAAGCAGGCGCTCCATTGCTTCGGGGTTGACCACGTGGAATGCCTCGCAGAGTAAAAGGCGCTTCTGTGCAGGGGTTACTTCAAGGTTACTGGCATACAGCCAGCCAACTGCATCGCCGTTGTGGAAAACAGTTGCGTTTAGGAAAGGGACCCTTGCCGTCCGCGCTCTCCAGCGCGGAAAGTGCAGCTCTGCCGCGAGAAGCACGACGTCGTCAGCCATTTCAATCAGCGCTGCCGTTTGCAGCTGAGGCTCGCTTCCGCGAAGAACGTCTAGAAAGGCGGGGAGGTGGCAGAGTATGTACAGGATGTATACGCCCAGTGCCAGACAGACTGCTGCCAGGCAGGCGCCTAGCAGCGATGTTGCATGGCGCAATGCGCCTCGCGCTGCGTGTTTAGCCCGGTGGGCAAATGGCGTGGCCTCGGGCAATGGGCTCTGCGCTAACAGCGGCTCGCGCTCATCGCCAGCGGCGGAATCAGGAGAAGCAGACATTG